CTAAGGTAAGACGCCAGTCCAGTCTGTGCTGAAACACTACTGTCAGTCAAACTATCGTGGGAGGGGCCCATCTGTGTGACATCACACAGACAGGCATCTGAGATCGGCTCGATTTGAGAAAGGGGTGGATTTTTATCATTATAGGGTGGTTGTGTACACACACTGCCAACACACATTTCAGTTCAAACAACTTGTACAAGTGCATGTAGCATCCTATGACCCCTTTAAATAACATGAAACTGTATGTTAATGCCGCTATCATTATTTACAGTGTTGCGATTATTTTGCTTCTCAGTTTCTGATAAGAATGATGCTTTGACACGGAGTGACCGAACAGCATCATGTAAGGCTCACCATGCCATCAGTGAAGTACTTGCAGCTCATCTTGATGAATTTGACGGTGGCCGGACTCTCGTCTTCAGACAGGGGTGACGTCTCTCTACACACGGGCCGTCTGGACCGGCTGCTCGATTCACTGTCCTGTCAGACGGAGATATCAGAGATCCATTAGTGCTGCCTGACACGCATTCAATACTCATAACGCTTATTATGACTGCATTAGTCAACAATACAGCAGAATGAATATAGAAATCAGCAAAAACTCCTCAGGATGAAGTATACTGGAGATTTAAGCACTTTAATAGAGCTCCACCAGTAAAAACCATATTTAATATCTTCATGAGCTCAGAGGCTTTTATGAAATTTTGGGTTCGGAGGAAACTGCAGGAGCTCTGTGAGCAGATGAAAAGATGATAATTATAAAAAACAATTACACTTGCCAAAATAGGACTATTTTATGTGTTTCCTGCGTGTCATGTGAACATTAACTGACATCAGGAAAATTGTTAGAATTTATTGAACAATTTATTAAACATTATTGAGATATTTAAATCTCAGGGGGACTTCAAGAAAATAATTTAGGATAATTTACTGAATGTCTAGCGCTGTGTTATTTTAGTATCATTGAGATACTATTATAGTTTTAATCTATTATTATGTTTTTATTTTTCTATTTTCATTTTAATTTGAAAAAATTTAGTGTTTGTCATTTTTATAATTTTTAAAAATTTGTTTGTTTTTATTTTTTTATTTCAGTTTTAGTTTTATACATCGTTAATTGAAATAAAGCAGAAATAAAACAACATCAAATCTAAATATTAGATTTAAAAAATGTAATGTAAATTTTTTTAAATTAACTAACCCCCCCAAAAAAATTAACTGAAGTTTAAAAACTACAATGACTAAAAAAAAAATGACAAAAGCACATAATATAATTAATAAAACTAACATTTTAATGAAAACTGAAAAAAAAAAAAAAAAAAAAAAAAACATTAATAAAATAAATAAAAGTTGAATTAAATGAAAAAGAAATGGTGCCTTGTCAAATAACTGAAATAAGAAGTTAAATAAAAAGTTCGTAATAAATATAAAATAAGTTTTTATATATATTTTATTTCAGTTAAAGTTTATTTCATTTAAAGTAATTTTTTTGTTTTTGTTTTAGTTAACTATAATAACCTTGGTCTAGTAATATATTACACTAAGTGTGTAATTATGTTTAAACAATAGTTTTATGGCAGTTATAGTTTTATTATAGTGTAGCGCATTGCATCATGGGATGTTTGACTCATAAAAGAGTTTAAGCACACAGTCAGCAGTGTTTGTCTTCCTTGTGATATTCAAACACTGTTTTGCTTCACACAGTTTGTATGGATGTGATTCATGACTGAAGCGTCTTACCTTAGGCTCCTTCTCTGACGACTCTGACGCTGTGAGATGCTCAGAGGAGCCGTCTGATTGGTCCAGATCAGGAACGAACAGTTTCTGTGCAGGATCGAGTAAAACGAGACGTTCAGTGTTAGGCTTTACTGAATCGCAGCTCAGAGAGCAGGAGAGAAACTCACCTGTCCAGGTACGACGCTGTGCGAGTAGAGACGGTTCAGCTGCACCAGTTTATTCGGGGTGATGTTGAACTTCAGAGCGATGCTGTTCAGAGTGTCCTTCGGTCCGACCTGACCGGTTAAACACGTCAAATATAAGCACTTTATTGATGAGATGAGCAGTGTTTGTACAGTAAGACCAACTCACGGTGAACTGCACGGTTCCTGGAGGTTTACTTTTCTCTTTCTTGGTCTGGCTGCATGGTTTGCTGTTGTCATCTGAAAGAAGAGATTGAAAACACTCAGTGAGTGAATCACAGTACAGTTATTGCTGTTACTACTTGCTGAGAAAGATACTGAATAAACACTGGTTTAATGACACAGACTCTAATTTTACACACAATCCATCTCGGTCTGATAGTACGCTGTTTTACTGTACGATCACAGTATGTGGAGTTTAGTTTGGGAATATTTAAAAAAAATATATACTGGAGCAGAACAATGATCATAATGAAGTAACGAATAGAAATGGAAATGTAAAAAAACAGAAGAAATTTTTTTTTTTTTTAATATATAAAATAATATAAAAATAAAATGTACAATTATTTTATTCCAGCTAGCTGCCAAGGAAAAAATATATAATTTTAATTTAGTTTAATGTGATGTACTAAATAACTAAAACTAAAATAAAAATTCACAAAAACGATATAAACACATTTTAAAAAAGTAATAAAAAAGATAAAAACACAACTAAATTCCTAGAACTTTAACAGGAATGAAAATGAAACCAGAAAACAGACTAAACTAAAAATATTAATAAAAACTATAATACTATCTCAACAGTACTAAAATAACACTGGTGTGGTCCGATTTAAAAGTAATGACTCTAATGAGGTGGTTCTATTGAATGAATGAATCAAAATGACTCAAAAGAGTCAAACGACTCAAATGACTCAACCGAAATCACTCACTGAATCAGTCGGAGTGGACACATGTGACTCAAAACCAAAAACTGTTATAGTGTGTTAAACTGTAACATTTCTTTAGTATTATCTGGTTGTTCTTATCAGTGTTTTTATTGTTAACTAAAATTGAAATATTGAATTGAAATAATCGTTAATTGAAATAAAGCTGAAATAAATATAAATATTAGAAAATAAATTTACTTAATCTTTGAAAAGCTGCCTTGGCTAACTGAAATAAATTTAAGTTGAAATACTACAATGACTAAAATTAAAAATAAATAAATATGACAAAAGGACATAACAAAATTACTAAAACTAAAATTAAAACTAAAATTGCAAACATAAAAATATATATATAAAAAAAACAAAAGCACTTAACAAAATTACTAAAACTTAAAAAAAAAACTGAAATCATAAAAAAGTTCAAACTAAAAAAGCAAAAATACATAAAATTACTAAAAAATTAAAATTAAATGAAAACTGAAAATAAAAAAATATAAAAAAAAGTAAATAAAAAAACAAATAAAAAACCAAAGCACAGAAACCTACTAAAACTGAAAACATAAAAAAAAATAAAAATAAAAATGACAAAACAACATTAAAAAAATTTAATTAAAATTAAAATGAAAACTGGAAATGAAAATATAAAACAAACAAAATTAAAAAAACCAAAGCACATAAACTTGCTAAAACTAAAATGAAAATTTAAAACATTAAAAAAAACATCATTAAAATTTTTTTTAATTATAATGAAAACCGAAAACCTAAAAATAAAAGCTAATTCAACACATTAATAAATATTAGTATATAAATAGCAGTAAAATAACACTGGTTCCCATCCACTCCGACTTCATCACCATCAGCTGTTGAACACAGGCTTGTGTAATGAGCCGCTGCTGACTCTGTGTCAAACATTAAGAACAATACGAGCGTCATTCAACACCGCGACGCTCTGAAACCAGAGAAGAGACGTCAACATACATGACTGAACACACATGCATGATATATTCATCATACCGGCCGAGAACTCTGAACAATCAGAATCAACTAAACTCATCTGGTTCAGCTCTGAAACTTCCTTAAACAGCGTGTGACCTTTGACCGGGCGGTTAGGGTTCATCTGCGGGTCAGACGCTCTTCCCGTCTGTTAGACTCTGATAAATAACACACTCGGAGCTCATCTGCAGGCAAACTTCCTGTTTGAGTCCGTAATCCTCACAAACACGCTCTACATTTACTTTCCTAATCAATACATCTGCTCATAATGTGAACGCATCAGGTGCTGCTGGATTCATAATCTTGCATCAAAATGTAATCATTTGCTTCACAGCTAATATTATTTACCAATAATAAATAAAAATAACCATTCACAATCAAATCAAACCCTAATAATATAGATTAAATACAATCTGTTTTAAATAAAAAAATGGATATTTTCATTGCTATTTGTTTCATTGCTAAACTGACTTCCCGATTTGACTATTTTCATGGTGAAAACTACGGATGCATGATTTGGGGGGAAAAAAAAATCACAATTCGCCAAAAAAA